AGCCCTGCGGCCGCCAGCACGGGCGTCCGGGAGTGGAGACCCCACGACTGACGGTCCGGCCGCGCCCCAGCCAGGCCAGCCTTCGGGCCGGGGCGTGGACGGCGCTGGTCAGTGGTTCTGCTCCCCGAGGGCAGGCCCATAGGCCTTTGGGGGCGAGGCTTCACTTGGGGGCCGAGTGACGGGCGCCCGGTGCCCTTGCCAGGAGGACCTGGAGTGCCAGCCGGGGCCGAGCACGATGAGTGTTCTCGAGGCTGTTGGCACCTACCGCGGGCCCCCTGGGACCCAGTTTCCAGAGTGGCTTTGGGGTGCCCTTGGCTGAGGCTGTCACTGCTGCTTTTGGGAGTGGTTTGTGCCTTTGAGCTGGGAGGCCCCTGGGCCCTGCCCCGTTCCTGTGGGAGGCGATCACCCACTCCCCAGCAGGGGTGCAGCCTGCCCCCCGACCAGCTTGCTGCGGGCACGTCGCTTCTCCCTCTGGGCTCAGTCTCCCCAGGCCCTCTGGCTGCCAGACGCCTGCCTTTCCCTCCTGGCACCTTGGCCTTGTTCCCACGAGCTGGTGGCTGGTCGGGGTGGCAGAGTTGGGGGCCGGTTCCTCGGGAAGTGGCTCTGTTCCCCCCTCTGTTGAGGGCGCAGGGCCTGGGCTGGGGGGCGAGGGAGCCCCGGACTCTGAGTTGGCCGGGGTGGGCACCTGGTTACGCCGGCTGGGCCTGGCTCCAGTTTGAACTAAGAGTATTATGGAGAGACCCTTGCGGGGTGAGCAGTGTGTGATGGGAAATAGCGAACCTGACTTACTGGGAGCGGAGACAGGCCAGAGGCTGCGGCGGCTGCAGGGGGAGAGGTGACGACGTGTGAGAGGAGAGGAGGCTGGAGAGAGACGCATCGCGGATGGGGCCCTGGGGCCGGGTCAGGTGTGTGGGGTCCGGGCCGCGGGGCTGAGGGCATAGCCGTGTTCCTGGTTGGAGTGAGGCCGCCCGCTCTGGGCAGAGGGTGGGCTGGAGGCGGGCGGGTCCCAGGAGGCTTGGAGCCTGACATGGCAGGAGCCTGAGGGCCTGCTCCCCCTCCTGCTGCTGGGAGGGGAGACTGCGCGTGGCTTCCCGCTGGGCATCTCCGCCTCCCCTGAGCAGGAGTCTGGGGGGACCCCACCGGCCCTGGCTGTTGTCCGTGGAGAGATGTCCCCAGCCCCCACGCCCCCTGGTGATGGGATGTCCCGGGGCCCCTGCACGCCAGTGGCCTCAGCGCGGGGCCTGGGGACTGGGCAAGGCTGATGGGCCGGGGAGGA